GTAAGTATGCCTTTCTGTAAGATTAGCCCAAAGAAAATGTCGAATGCGTTGAGTGTCAGCCATTTTCATTCTAAATTTCGCCTGTTATTTTACAACAAAATAGGAAGTATTTAGTAAGCATATTTTAAGCAGATTTAAACAGAAAACTAATCGTCTGGTGAGAGGTCCCAATATGGGACATCCACCTTCATACCATCATGCGAAATTATAATAGCCGCCAATTGAAGAAGGATCATAGTTGGAAGCCTGTTATACAAATGATCCCAATCCCATTGACCATTCGAGGCCACTAGGTCACTAACTCTCTTGGACCTATCAATATCATCAATACGTTGAAAGCCAAGAAGCTTAAGAGGACCTAAGTCCCCTAGCCAGTTATCTTCCTAGAATCTAGCACTATTGCTATCCCTAATGTGTCAGGCCAACCCACATCTCAGATATTCCCATAGACCATGCAACTTCTGCCACAGATGAGAACGGGTATTTAAATTAAAAGGGGTCGTATATTAGGGATCCCATATATATTTATGCCGCAAAATTTGAACTTAAAGGAGGTTGGGTTTGGTAAGAATAGTAAAGCTCACTTTCATGAAGAACACCTTGTTAAGTGCTCTTAGGCTCGGAATACCACCTCCCCCATGGGCAGTAGACTGACACATATCCTTCCAACTAACAAGGCTCGGCCTTTTCGCATCACTGGTGGATCCCCATATGAAGTCACGCATAAGCCGATTAATTTGATCACAGATTGAGCTGGGAATGGCGGCAGTCTGCATCGCATAGGTGGGAATTGCCATCAGCACATACTTGGCTAATGTTACGCGACCAACTATGGAAAGACTAGTAGTTTTTCACCCAGAAAACTTCTCCCGCACCTTCTCAAGAATATACCTGTAGGTATCCTTGGTGACCCTACCATGAATAAGAAGAACACCTAAATACGTGTTTAGGTTCTTAGAAACCTGAAACCCAAAGGTTGAACTGATACGATGAGCCTCACTATCCAACACATTATAGAGTAGAAGATATGAGTTTTATTCATGTTAATTTTGTGCTCGGAGCACTCACAGAACTCTGCAAGAACTATCTTGAGCAGTAATACCTGACTATCCGAGGTCTCATTAAAAAGGATCAAATCATCTGCAAAAAAGAGATGCAAAAACTTGGGCTCCCTCCTACTCAATGACATAGGATGCCAAATCTCACGGTCAACCAACTGATCAATATACTAAGAAAGACACTCCATATAAAACACAAAAATGTATGGTGAAATGGGATCACCCTGGCAAATGCCTATAGAGAGAGTAAACTTCTAAATGGCCTCTCAATTCCACAGAAGTTGGATGAAGCCAGAGCAGATATACTGCATGATAACCTGAGTGAGAGATTATGGGAGACCAATATCCCAAATGGTATCCTTAATAAAATCTTAGCCGAGTCTATCATATGCTTTTTCAAGGTCCACTTTGATAGCCATCCAATCGACCTTATATTTTTTTCGTCTCATTGAGTGGACAACTTCCTGGCCCATAATAGTATTATTCGATATGCTATAGCCCTCCACGAACCTTGTTTGGGTCTCACTGACTATACTAGGCATAATATTCTTAAGCTTGTTGGCAATGACTTTAGTGATGATCTTGTAGGGGACATTTAACTAACTGATAGGGAAAAAATCTTTAATATTTGTGGGACTTGCCACCTTATGGATCAAAGTGATTAAGGTTCTATTGATGCTTTCCTCCATCGCTTCTTATCGAAATACTTTGAACACCATTTCACAAACTAAATCACCAACAGTGTCCTAATGGTGCTAAAAGAACGTCACATGCAGCTCATCCAGTCTCGACACCTTGAGAGGTTTCATGTCGAATAAGATCGCACAGATATCCTCTTTGGTGACCAAGCTACCCAAAGCTGTCCAGAGTAAGCATCAGAAATTTACCATGGACCTTAAAGTTGCGAGCACTAGAGTATCCTTAATGTAAAGCTTTTAAAAAATCAGAGGCAATGAGTTTAAATTGATACTCATCAAAAATCTAATTGCCTGCGTTATCTTGTAGCATACTAATCTTATTCTGTCAACATCGGGCCATAGTGCGCGCGTATGGAAATAACTCGTATTTTTATCACCAAATGAAATAAAGTCACATTTAGCTCTTTACAGACAATATAATTCTTCCTGTAGTAATATGGTCTAAAGCTCCTAGCACAGGGACACTTCAAGTTTACTAAGGTACTCAGACAGGCCATGTTCCAGCGTCCTTTGGATGCTAACGATGCAAGCCATTAAGTGTTTTTTCTTATAAAAGACTGTGGTATTCTAATCCTAAGCACATCTTGAGAAGTTATTAATGGTGGCTTAGAAAGAAGCTCTGCCCTTCCAACTACTCTGGACAAGCTTAAAAAAGTCATGATGAGTAAGCCAGATCGAAAGAAATTGGAATAGAGGGAGCACTAGTTCTGCGAGTGTATCACCCTAGCATTAATTAGAAGAGACTTATGATCATAATTGAATTTTGGCCAGGTGGTGCACCAACGTATCAAGGAATGTA